CCTCTTATCGGGCTTGGACTCAATCCACTAACTCCTCTCAGCCCATTTCTTTTCCTCTACGTGTGTGAATTTATTTTTCATGGTGTGTTCCGTCATGAAGGTAATGTCTAGGTGGATTGGAAGGTGATCGACCACGTGCCTCGCCGAATGTCAAGGTCAACAACATTCAATTTAGACTTGAAACCACGTCAGAATCTAGGGGCCAGCAAAAACATACTTGAAAACCCTCTTCAATTATTATTATTTTCCATTGAAAATGACGGATTTATTTCAAGAAACAATTTTTCAGCATTTATAAGTAAGTAATAGACATCTTCTTTTGGAAGAAAAAGTTTTATAGCATTAACGTCATAAAATGGACTTTTAATCACTTTTCAACTAATTTAGCTAAGTCCCAAACACAACTTTTGCTCATTCCCAGTTTTTCTTTTCAACCAAACGCAAGAATTTCATCAGAAATGGAAGTCACATAGCCACTGCCGACTCAAAACTGCAGTGGGTCCATTCAGTTCGTCCCACAGTCGATCACAGTTATCCACTCATTCAATCCATATAAAGTTCAGTTATAAAAATCCTTCATTTCTCAAATTCGATTCAAACCCTGATTAGCAAGCCATGAAAATTTCTTGAAAAGCTTTAAGATTCTCAGCAATTACTCAAATATAAGGATTAGTTTGTCGTGGGTTTAACCAGTCATGGTTTCTTTAGAAGATTCATGCTCTCATTCACACTCCAGTCCCAACATTACTAATCATTTTCCTCGAACGAGGCCTTATTATTACACTCCGCCGCCGTCCTCCGCCAGTATCAGCCGCTCGATGGGCCGCTCCATGCGTACTGTGCGTTCAAAACACTTCCAAACTGACCCTTCTGCTCCCATCTACGACCAATCGTCCAACGTTTCTGAAAATCTAACCGACTCGGTCGTAGACCTTCGCCTTGGGGAGCTCGCCAATAAATCGCCCGTTAATTCGAAAGCTTCGTCTTCTTCGGAAATCGACGAGTTTTTTGACATTTCCCAAGCTTTCAGTGACTTCTCCGCGTGTTCCAGTGACATATCTGGAGAGCTCCAACGCCTTGCGAGCCTCCCTGATCCTGGCCCGGGTCAAAGACCTACGCAGGAACCGGAGCCCGAACCGTGTTCTGGCTTTTTGCAGAGAGAGACGTTTTCCACAGAAATTATTGAAAGCATTTCTCCTGAAGATCTTCAGCCTACTGTAAAACTCTGCGTGGACGGGTTGCAGTCTTCCTCAATTGCAATTAAAAGATCAGCAGCTGCTAAATTGAGACTTTTAGCGAAAAATCGGGCTGATAATCGGGCCTTGATTGGAGAATCAGGTGCGGTACCCGCTTTGATCTCGCTTCTCAGGTGCTCGGATCCGATGACTCAAGAACACGCAGTGACAGCTTTACTTAATCTCTCCCTTCTTGAAAGCAACAAAAGCGCGATCACAGATGCAGGTGCAGTAAAATCCTTAATTTATGTGTTAAAAACAGGCACTGAAAACTCCAAACAGAACTCAGCATGCGCTTTGTTAAGCTTGGCTCTGATTGAAGAGTATAAATTGTCTATTGGGGCCTGCGGTGCAATACCTCCGTTAGTGGCACTGCTCATAAACGGGTCCAGTAGAGGAAAAAAGGATTCACTAACAACGCTGTATAAGTTATGCTCGGTGAGGTTGAATAAGGAAAGGACAGTGAATGCGGGGGCTGTGAGGCCGTTGGTGGGGCTTGTGGGAGAGCAGGGGACGGGGTTGTCCGAGAAGGCAATGGTGGTGCTGAGTAGTTTGGCTGCTATTGAGATGGGACAGGAGGCAATCATAGAGGAAGGTGGTATTGCGGCACTGGTCGAGGCAATCGAGGATGCGAGCGATAAGGGGAAGGAATTTGCGGTTTTGACTTTGTTGCTGTTGTGTAGGGAAAGTGTTCGGAACAGGGGATTGCTTGTTAGGGAGGGAGGCATCCCACCACTTGTTGCCCTGTCACAGACTGGTACAACAAAAGCTAAGCATAAGGTGAGTTTTCGAACGCATTGTCCTTAAATTATTTAAACCGTTTGGCTATTTTTACCATGAAATTGATGTGTTCTGCACCATTGAATTGGCTTCTTGGATTTATATGTTAAAAAGTGAATGTCAAATTGAATGGAGTCTGTTATAGATCCAATTCTGGCACACAATTCTAGTGTCCAAGAACAGTGACCATGAATTTTGTGGCTATGCATTTGATGTGTGTAGGCAGATCTAATGACTTTGTGTATGAAACATGGTGCTTACGTCTTTTATCATTGAATGAGTGGCACAGAAAGTCTAGCAAGTTGTATGCAGCTTGTTGAATTATTGGTGATAATATTTTGAATACTGAACTTGAAAACCAATAGCTAATAATTTCGATTATTAAATAATTTGATGTGATCTTGAGATGGATGTTTACTGTTGTCTTCTTTGTTTATTAACCGTTTATTAAATTACGAATACATGCTACAAAGGAATTAGTTGCTGCATCATAAATAAAATAAAAAATTGCTGCAGTATTGCTAAGTGGTGGTGATGCTCTACCATATTTTTTTCTTGTAGCTTTGGGTACAATGAGTTGAAAGCTAAGATTTTCTTGACCCATGATGGTTTCATGGGAAGAATTATATTGATGGTGTATGGTTGTGTTTGGCAGGCTGAAACACTTCTTGGGTACCTGAGAGAACCCAGACAAGAAGCTTCTACTTCGAGTCCATAAAGACTCACATTAATCGTTCTGTTTAATTTCGTATGGTAAATGGTTTGTTGTTGACTGTATATGGCAAGTGTTTTGATGGGATTTGTACAGAGTAGTCAAGCATTTAGGAGTATATGATAAAAAAAGCTGAAAATGATTAGAAGCTGACCTTCTAGTTGTATTTTGGTCGACTAGGTTCTTTTTGGTTTGTGTATCGGGTATCCCCTTAATTGTCAGTATTTGTCTCTGTGAAGGGTGGAGCTTGTTTACCTAGTGTTTGTTTTTGTTTGCTGAGAATTTGGGTTATCAACATTCATATCTGTGGTGTTTTATTTCAGTGATCAAATTCCATGTAAGGTTTTATTCGTTCTTCCATAAATGCGAAATTTTCTTTTGAGCTTGACCTGATCTAGGCTATAGAAGGTTGATTATGATTGAGCTTTGTTTGTTTTACCTCCTCCTTTGCCTCTTGTATGCGTCTCAAACTCGTAGTTTAAACAAGTTCGAACAGATTTCTTTATTGATTAGGGCATCCCTTGTTGGGGCATAAGCTCTCTTACACCGAAATTCTCAGACGGCGAACCCTTCTCAAAGGCATATCTTGAAGACAGAAGTCACTTGACTGCTTGCTGTACCTATTTCCTCTTTGTTTTCTTGCATCTCGAAACTGATTCAAGTTACACTATCTCCTATCTTATATGAGATAGCTTTCACAGGATTCTTGCCAAAAATAAATTAACATAGAGAGTGATTAGAGTTCATTTCAGATCGTTTGGCTCAACAGCAGCCATGTGAAAGTGGATTAAAAATGAAGCAATGGTAGGTAGGGACACTTTGTCTACTGAATTATGTGCAACTTGAAATGCGATGGTACTACCGGCATGAATGCATGATAGAGCCAGCCGTCTGACAGCGACCCCACAACAGATTTTTAATTAGTTGGGGGGTGACTGGTGAGTTAATATGAATCCTTCATTTTCTTGTGGGTTTCGTCTTGTTATGATTTCATTAGCTGGCACTGGCGAGGAGCAGGTATATATTTTTGTTCTGTCTTTTTACTTTTGCACCACCTGTGAGTGTCGGTGTGCTCTAAACGTGGGATTTACCTTTAACATGTAATCACAAGAAGGCGACTTGCAAGGGCGGAGCCACACAATGATGTTAGGATGGGCTAAAATAGAAAAAATTTCGTATGAACTCACCACAAGAAATCAAGTTTCAGATGTTATTCTCGTGACATTTATGATAAAAAAATATATATATTTACGGAACTCAATGAAATAAAAAAAGTTTAGATGTTTCACATTAAAATATTCCACTTAATCTTTGTATTTTTTTTGCCAAATAGAAAATCGATACTTGCCTTAAAAATATAAATTGATCGAATCATGAAAGAAATAAACAAAAATAAATATCCACCAATGAAAATTTAAAAAATTACTTAATGAGTACTCTTCTAGTGACTTTGACGATCAATCTTTTCAACAATTGAAAGTTTGATCGAAACACAGTCGATAATATATCACTATAATTCATATGTTATTGTCTCAAAATATTATTTGGCGTGTTTATCGATCTTTTATCTTATCACATTTCAAAGTGAGTGAAGAATCTTAACCAAAGTGAGAAAAATCAACTAAGAATTTCGAAAGTCAAAGAAATTAAATTTAATTCACGTCCATTTTTGGTTCGATTTCAAGAATATATTTATATATAGATTACTTTATAAATAAATAATTTTTTTTTTATTGTCAATATCGAATCTAGAGTAAATTATTTATTTTGATCATAATATCTTTTTTATGGTCAAAATAAGTAATTTTTTTTATATAATTATGAATAAGTAATATATAAAAACTTACTTAGAAATAAAAAAAATTACTTCTAAATTTAGCAAAATATGCAGTGTTCTAACTACTAAAATAAGTAATTTACTTCTAGATCTAATCAATACAAATTATCTATAATCAAATTTAATTAATAATTATAAGTAAATTTAGTCAAACGTGCATTAAATAGAATATTTAATTTGACAATAAAATATTCACGTTTCAATGTTTCATGAATGTCATGAAAAGAGTAATTAATAATCGTAGCATCTTTAATACAAATTTGAATAATTGAACATTGGACTTGGTTGAGATTCAAACTAGAGTTTGGCTAATCCTAATATTTGGACCGAAATTTACAATTTCTCCTTAAGGAATTTATATGGGCTCGGGGCGGGACAGTGCAGTGCTGGGCCACACTACCTCCACCCATGCCCAAGCACCACTCCACCATCCACAATGCTCAACAAAAAGTTGTTCAGCGATGGAGAAGCCTCACTCATAGCCTCGACCAAGTCAAGAACGACCATCGAAGCTGTCAATGCACCTGCTGTCAAGCCAATAAACATTTTCTCCTTCAGTGAAGCATTGACTTCAAATTTTGCAACAGGTATTGTAACTGCAATGACCTTTAAGGACTTTACATGCGTCGACTTGAGGAAAACGTTGACATTTGGTTGGGTATTACGAGTTGTGCGGGTTCATGGCATGGTCATTGGTATAGCAGAAGTGGAAGCTGCCATTGCTATTCAGTTTTCACTCTACATGCTGGAAGCTGCATTGCCATGGCAGGGGCGGAGCCAGGAATGATGGGTACGTGGGGCAAATTTTTTTAAAATTTAATGTAGGAATAAAAGTTATATATAATAGGAAAAATTGTAATATAATGTTACATATTACACTTGTACCCGACGATATTTTATAGCATAAAATTCATCTATAATAGAATCTAGATTTAAATTCATACTAAATTCTCGTTCAATGTTTAGTGTTAAACAATCGGCCAGAAAACTATCATCCATTTTGTTAAGAATTTCCATCTTCACATGTTTCATTACTGAAAATATTCGCTCCACAATCGCTGTTGAAACCGGTAGTGTAAGTACTAAACAAATCAATTTAGTCAAAATGACGTAACTCTCCGACCTTCTTCTTGCAATCAATTCCCGACATAAATCAAAAAGTGTAGGCACTTGAAATCGAAGCTCAAAAATCACATCATTCCGATAATGTTGCAACTCAATTTTCAAACAATAAATATCATGCAGCATAAAATCTTTCAGATAAAACTTCTCTGCAAGTTTGCAAATATTATTCATGTTAATATGTTGAGTTGGTTTCATTAAATGTTGAGTTGGTTTCATTAGATTTTCAGCTCTTCTCTTACAACAATTATGATACGATGACAATGTTGTACCAATATGAATAAGAAATACACATTTACTTCCTTGGTTAACCCTCTTCCAACTGTCAAATCCAACAGTAACCAACGATCAAACAATAGGTGAAGCACTATCATTGAGAAAAAGGAAGCAATAAAAATTATATGCTTTATGTGTAGAAGGTGAATATTCCAACCAAGGAAACTGATTGTACCAACACTCCTGAAATCGACGTTTCTGCTTTACACATTCTTCACTCTGATAATCCAAAAGTTTTGGTTGAGAAGGTACAGCATTTAGATAGACTCGCCTAATTTGATCGCGTTCATTAAATGGATGTTCACATATTAGCTTTATTTTTCCTAGGTCCCGTTCAATAGAATTAAATGGTTCCAAATTAAGATTAGGAGATGAAGACCGTTCAACTTCAAAGGATGAAATTGGATTTGGAGTGGACGCAGTAGGAATTTAAGTACCCTGATGTTTGTTGCTTTTTGAAAAGAACGATAATAAAGTTCTTCCTTTTTTGGAAGATGGTCGATCTTCAATATCCTATATCAAATCAAATGGATATGCCAAATGCAAATTAATATTTTCTAAATAAATTCCTAAATCCTAAAGCAACTTAGCAAATAGCAAGTCCGAAGTCTGCCTTATTCGTTTAACAGATATACCAAATGCAAATTAACTAGCATTTTAGCAACTATCAGTAGCAAGTCTAATTTTTATCAAACAACTTTTCCATTTTAACAACTAGCAGCTAGCAGCCTTAAGAATGTCTAGGGAAAGGGTAAAGTTTAAATCTTACTAATAATCAGTCATTAATATATTCTCTAATTCTCTGGCAACAAGATTATGAAGTAATTTGAGTAATAGGTTAATATCTTCAAATACTATATTGGAAGATCTAATATAAGCTTCAATTAAATCAACAGAGTCATCTGCAATCAATTACCAAAAGTTAAAATTGACAAAATTAAAACCAAAATACAATGATCAAGGACATGATGGAAAGAAAACTAGAAGGCTTCGAGGTTTTTCTAAAATTTTCATTGTAAAAATCTTTTATTTGAAGAGTGATGAAGAAGAACATTGAGCAGGCCAGCAGGGCCGATTTTCACTTATCGATTTTTGGCGGACGGTGTCGGGCGTCGGCGGTAAAGGGTTTGGTGCCATTTGAGAATTGAGTTTTAATTTTAATATTTTATATCAATAGCAAATTGGGTTTTCAATTTTCAAATGGGCCTTGAACAGTGGGCTACTGGGCTTGAAAAGTGGAAAAACAATGGGCTGTAACCAATTTTTTTTTTGTGACCAATTGCGACCGATTATGACTTGAAATTCTGAATTTTTTTTTTTTAAAAAAAATTGGAGCAGTCCATTGTTTTTAACCGGTCACAAACGGTCACAACAGGTCACAAACGATCACAACCGGTCACAACCAACACCTCACCACAACAACCAGATCCACCACCACTTGTAACACCACCATTACAACGTATACCACCACCACCACCGCGACCCATCGCCGCACCAATAACCAGGCAAATGTCTCCCCACCGCCAAGGTCCCTCTAGACCCTACCACCACCAACATCATCGTCGCTACCACAGCTAGACCCAATCAGTACCACCACCATCGTCGTCGAACCACTACCACAACCGCCAAATCC